TCTCTCTCTCTCTCAAAAATAAGTAAAAACATTAAAAAAAATTTAAGTGACAGGATATCACAGAAGACAAGAAGAGTAAAAATCACTCACACAGTGTGTACCCTCTTCTGCAGAAAAGGCTGATGTGTTTTCAGTTGTGTGCAGGGCGGACGTAGCACATCAGGGGGGACTCTTTGTTACTGTCCTTGCTTAGAAATCAACTAAGCTCTAAGGAGATATACACGGGGGCCAGGCTGACAAGTCGCGGACTGGGAAGGTCCATTTTATGTATCGACCGGGCTACATCCGAGTTCCCAGTTATTCAGTTGAACACTAGTCTACGGGTTGAAGATATTTTGTACATATGATTAAGTCCATAATCAGTCTGCTTTATAGGAGGAAAACTGTCCCAGATAAACAGTGGGTCCAATTCGGTCCACTGAAAGGCCGTAGGAGCAGAGCTGAGGCAGTCTGCCCTTATGGATTCCCAGCTTTGCCTAGTCGGCCCCCAAAGATTTCAGAAACCAAGTCTCCACAGTAAGTCTCCGTCTCTATAACCTACTAATTCAGAAGACAGAGCATTTTACTTAAGAATGAGGTTGGATCCCTTCTTCACATCACATAAAAATGAACTCATGTGGATCCAGTAAGAGCTAAAAGTAAGAGCTGAAACTAAAGCTCTTAGAATGAAACACAGGACTGTCATTTGAGTTAGGCAGTGGTTTCTCACATGTGGCACCAGAAGCACAAGCAACAGAAGGGGGGAAAATGTATCCATTACATTTACATTTAATGGAATGTATCCATTAAAGCTCTTCTACTTCAAAGGATACCATGAAAGAAAGTAAAAACACAGGGACGGATGCCTGGGTAGCTCAGTCCCTTAAGCGTCCTACTCTTGATTTCAGCTCAGGTCATGATCTCACAATTTGTGGGTTGAAGCCCCACGTCGGGCTCTGTGCTGACAGCTCAGAGCCTGGAGCCTGGAGCCTCCCTCTCTCTGCCCCTCCTCCACTTGTTTTCTCTGTCTCTGTCTCTGTCTCTCTCTCAAAATAAATTAACATTAAAAAAAGTAAAAATACAGCCCACAGAATGGGAAAAAATATTTACAAATTTCTTATCAGGTTACAGCGTCGTGTCTGGAATATATAAAGAACTTGTACAACTCAATAATAAAAAGGCAATCCTATTTAAAAAATGGGCAAAGTCCAGCTTCGGCTCAGGTCATGATCTCGCAGTTTGTGAGTTCAAGCCCCGAGTCGGGCTCTGTGCTGACAGGGCGGAGCCTGGAGCCTGCTTTGGATTCTGTGTCTCCTCCTCTCTCTCTGCCCCTCCCCCACTCATGCTCTGTCTCTCTCAAGAATAAATAAGCTTAAAAAAAAATTTTTTTTAAATGGGCAAAGGATCTGAATAGATATTTCTCTAGAAGATATACAATGGCTACTAAATACAAGAAAAGATGCTCAACATCATTAGCCACCAGGAAAATATAAATCAAAACCACAAGACCCCATACTTCATACCCAGTAGGATGGCTAGAAGCCAAAGGATGAACAGTAACTAACAAGTATTGCGAGGCTGTGGGGAAACCAGAAGCTGACACTGATGGGAATGGTGAGAGGATGTCCCCATTTTAGAAAACAGTTTGGGAAATACTTGGAAAAAAGTATTCTGGTAAACAGTCTGGTACTTCCTCAAAAGGTTCAACATAAAGTTAACACAGGCCTAGCAACTCCACCCCGATGTATCTTCCCAGAAGGGAGCACGGCCACACAAAACCTGCACCTGAATGTTCAGAGCAGCATTATTCATTACCAACCCAAAGCAGAACAACCCAGATGTCCCAGTCTCGTTGCGGCCCCCAACACACACACACACACACACACACACGGTACAGGACCTATCCGTATCAGCAGCTCCCAGTACACTAACAGTGTAGAAAATGCAAGAAGAGAGCCTTGGACAGTTCAGAGTGGGCCAGGGTGGCCAGGAAACAGCTGAGGTAAGAGAGCAAGGGCCAACCCAGAAGACAGAAGCTGCAGAGGCCAGGACATTCCGACTCATGCACATGAGCCACGGGAGCAGGTGACGCGAGCCCTGTGGACGCGCCTGGATGCAGGCCTGACCAGCATGTGCCTCCACCCAACAGCAGGGAAACACCAGGAACCGGCGTCACCGGGCCTGTGATACAAGAGCCTACGTAATAAATTCAAGCGCTCTCTCCTCTCAGGCCTCAGGGTCCGGCTACCACTCACTCACCTGAAACAGCAGCTTCGGAAAGCACTTTGAGCACCTCGTTCTCCATTTCACAGCTGTTGCACAGCTCCTCCCACGTCCCCTGAAGTCCCTTCTTCCGGGCGAGTTCCGTTAGTTCCTTTTGATTTGGCACGACAAATCCAATGACGTAGGAATGGTAACTGCGATACACGAAGGACAACGTGGCTGAGGCACCGTGCTTACCAACGACACAGACGTGGCTGCAATCAGCCCGGGACTACTCGAAAGGACACACACGAGGCGTGTTTGGTACTAGCCCACTCGTTTCAAGCGACGGCCACCACGACTGCCTGATTCGCCATGGGCTCCAGGCTCTGACAGAGCTCACTGCTAAGCACACCTTAATCTGACACTTGATGACAAATTTCAAATATGTGTAACTGTTACCAATAGTTCCATGGATACATCTCTTAAAAGAAAATTACAAGTATTAGAAAAATGTGCTTTTAAAAAAGTTTGTCATTCACATCAACTGGCTAAACAAAATAAAAGCTAATGTAAATTTGAAGTTAGATCTAAAGATGGGGCGTCTGGGTGGCTCAGTGGGTTCATCGTCCGACTTCGGCTCAGGTCATGACCTTGCAGTTCGTGAGTTCAAGCCCCACATTGGGCTCTGTGCTGCCAGCTTGGAGCCTGGAGCCTGTTTCAGATTCTGTGTCTCCCTCTCTCTCTGCCCCTCCCCCACTTGTGCTCGTTCTCAAAAATAAACATTAAAAAAAAAAGTTGTGTCTAAAGAAATTTGGGAGCAAATCAAAGTAATGTGGTTGTATTTTTTTCTTTTGTTATCATGAGCATTTGGTGACAGAGCCTTAGGTGGCCTGCCCATGGCACTACGGAATGGCAAGCAGTGTGCCAGGGAGAGAAGGGTGGTCTGATTACTATCACACACATAAAATCCAGAACTGTAGCATGGCTAAAGAAGTTACCTCATAGCTAATTAAAGGGCAGAATAATTTATAATTCAATGAAGTAAATCTTTAAAATGTCTAAAGTTTCTAAGTTGGTTCTTCTGACAGCAGATTTTATTTTTTCATAATCACCACTTTATCAACTGCTGTGGTGTGGTTCCTAGGCTGCCCGCAAAGTAGCTGATCGCGAACAGTGGAGAATAATTTTCCCCCAGAACACCGCAGTGCCAGTCTGAGATTCCGGCACATTTCCCAAGAATACACTTCTGGGATTTTTAACTTTAAATTTTTTTTTTTTTTTTTTT